GTTCCTGTGTGTTCATGTGTGTTCCTGTGTGTTCCTGTGTGTTCCTGTGTGTTCCTGTGTGTTGTTGCTGTGTGTTGCTGTGTGTTGCGCGCGTGGTGCGTGGTGGTGCGTGGTGTTGCGTGGTGTTGCGTGGTGTTGCGTGGTGTTGCGTGGTGTTGCGTGGTGTTGCGTGGTGTTGCGTGGTGTTGCGTCGTGTTGCGTGTTGCGTGTTGCGTGGTGTTGCGTGTTGCGTGTTGTTGTTGTTGTTGTTGTTGTTGTTGTTGGTGGTGGTGGTGGTGGTGGCGGCGTTGGTGTTGGTGTTGGTGTTTGTGTTGGTGTTACCCCTGCAGCTTTTTTTCTCGGTTCCGTAGTGGCCGAGAATCGTCAAATAGGTTGTGTTTTCGCGTGTTTTTGCAACTCGCGGAGCAAAAAACATCGTAAATACCAATGTTTTTGGCGGGTCGGAAGCCCAAAACCACGGTATTTACGATGTTTTTTGCCTCTGGTAGCAAAAAGCACGGTATTTACAGTGTTTTTTGGCCAGCACCTAGCAAAAACACTGGTATTTACGGAGGTTTCACCATGTAACAAAATGTGGTTTCTTGATCCGAAAAGAACAAAAATACTGTAAATTACAATGTTTTGAGTCTGCTCTTAGGGTGCGTGGGAGGCGTGGAGGGGGGGGGGGTGGGGGGGGGTACTAAAATGACTAGCAATCTCCTGAATAATCAGGTAACGGGGCTGGCCGCCCTCCCCTTTACTTCGTAAAGTAAAACTCAAGGTAGCCCCTCTGGAGCTACCTTTCGTGATATGTAACTAAGGCCCTAAAAAGAATATAAAAAACCTAAAAGATATATATAGCGGCTCTAAAAATATAAGAAAAATATAAGACATATCAAGAAATCGCGAATAAAATTATACACAAATTCTAAGTAAATTACAAATACAACAAATATTAATATATAAACCCTCGGCCGTAAAATCTATAATATTCCGTAAAACCTCTGTATTGCTATGGTTTCTCGGCGATGAACTTTTTTGTGTCACTTTCGACAAGGACTCAGAAAGTACGGCCTCAGAATTTTTAGGATTTTTCATTTTATTCCTAATTCCAAACCCAAACCACCAATTAAAAATACCGCCTGATGTTTGTTGGTATAATTTTATGTCATATGTACGAAAATATACATGTCGGTTGAGCGCAAATTTCTCGATTAAATTATGTTATTTTAGCTCAACATACTAACCATCTAATTCTGATAAAAATGCGAACCTCGTCAATACCTCCCCCAAACACCCTATTCTCACTACGTTTGCAAAAAGTAACTAGACAGCTTTTCCGGCTGGCTTTCGTAATCTTTTATCATCATGTGACGGTGATGATCAGGATAACAGGGATGATAGGGATGATGAGGACAATATGGATAATATGTGATAATATGGATGATAAGGATCATAAGGATGAGGATGATGAAGATGAGGACGAGGATTGTGGCTGGCGATGATAAAGATGAGGAGGATGAGGGCTATGGGTATGATCTATACAAAATAGCGCCACCAAAACACAAACTATGCAGCGGAGGGGAAGGCCCAAACAATGCATGCAAGAACCTGGTCGAACCTCTACTAGTGGATAGCACCAAGGTGTGTGAACTGCAATCTTGGGGGGGCCACAGCGAGGAATCTCTTCATGATCGAAAACAGAGCCTCCTATGCCCGTTGTGCCCTTAAAAGGAAAGAATGCTAAAGTTCGTGACAGACAGTTCACCAGCAGTCAACAGCCCATGCCAGAAACAAAAACACTTTTTGGATATGTTGGGTGGAACGCACCCTCCGTTTCCGCAATATGACAGAACTCATATTTCAATTAAACATGAATCTCGATGCATAATAATGCAAAAGCGCAGAACCTTTCCGTGCCATTTTCCTGACGCATAGATTACATATCTCGCTTTCAATGCGAGATGTATTGAGATTCTCATGGCATGCACCGATCATATTCGATCAGAGATTTCAGACTGTACGAGCTCGAGACAGCACAATGGCATCTGGCAGCCGGGGCAAGATGGGCCCATCTGGGTATGGACATGGATCAAAAATGATCAAAATTGGTGATCTTTCTGTCTTTTCTATGCTTTTCTGGCGGTGATCGTTTCGATCCATGCCCCCTAGATATCATGGCATTCGAGAGCCCAAGCTTCTTTACCGTGGCGCCTGCCCATAAGAAGCCTCGTGCACTGATCTGGGCTTCTTCGTCTTCTTCACTGAAGACTTCAGCCCACTTCTGTGAATTCTCAAAGCCGAAACCAATCTCCGGAAATCTTGTATAATTTGGACCAGCTCTTGAAAATCCTCATGTCGAAAATGTCCACCTTGAATGGTTTCCTCATGTTTCCTCAATCGCAAACGTCGTTCTGCGATGGTTTGGTCTTGTCACGGACTTGTCCATCGGCTCTGACTTTCTTGGGCATGCGTCGAAATGAAACTCTTTAATTTGGAGGGACTTAGTTTCCTCCCATCACTGGGTGGAACAGCGCTTGCTGCTTGAGGAAGTGCCACTATCTGCCGCTATCTGCTATGGCAATTCTTGGTTTTCTTGTGTAATCCAAGGTGATGGACATTATGATGCAATGTCCAAATCTGTGTCAAATGTTGATTCAAACCAAAACATACAAAAAACAATCAAAAACAAACAAAACTATGAAAACTGATCTCCTCAGCAAGTGGCGCTTCTGCACTGCACTGATACCATTCTCCGAGCCCCAATTTCCCAGCCATGCTGGATTCAAACTGACTGGCGTCTTGTTTGGGTGAGGAACTTAGAAGCATTAGAAGCACATGCATTCGCATGAGGGCGATGTGTCACTCTCCTTTGCTTTCTTTGAACGTGCCTCAGTGACTCAACAATAATTACATTATTACTACATGATATTACATGCAGCTAATCATCAATACGCTGCACTCATATGCTTCAGGAGATCGGTGAGCCCACACTGACCCTCTCCCCATTCCATATGCTTTGCCAGACTTCTTGCTGGACATGTGGCATAAGTTTCCACCGCCTCCAAGAATCGAAGTAACTTAAACAGAAACCGCTTTTGTCAACTAAGCGGGACACGTCTGCATAGATACTTGGAAACAAACCTGAGGGACAGAGACACTTTCTGCCTTGGGCTGGGTGGATGAGGCATGCCACAGTAAAGGTATGCAAAGATGTTTGCCTATTGGCCGTGCTCTTTGGCATTGCGTGCGCTTGAACAGCGCGGCGCGGGATCGATGCACGTGCACACGTGCAGGCTACGGACCATCACTGTGCGAAAGAGGCCTAAGACAACCTCAATCGCACTCCGTCAGCCATTGCCCTGCAGCCATCTTCGAAAAACCAGCGAAACAAGCTCCTATGCCTGTGGTGTCAACACCTGGGGCATCAACATGGTGATCTACAGTAATCTGATGGGTCATGGGAGTCTAACCACTAGTTTACCCCAATACAATGGCATGACTGCAATGGGCAAATCCTAGCTACTCATGAATATACACGGTGTCAAGCCGCCATCGGCGATGGAGTCGTACCCAAGTCTCCCTAGTCCCGGTCGGGACAACGACTTGTTTGACTCTTGCCATTTCACCTATAGTTCTGTGCAAAGTCTGACAGCCCAATGGCATATCACATACAGCCTCAACGGCCCTCGGCCACCCCCGGCCACAGTCTTGTCTGTCCTCTCCAGTGTGTGAATTGGAAGCCCCTTGGGATGGAGGACAGCCCATTGACCATGCAACATGTTAGAACACGTGCCACCGTCAAAGTACCCGAGATGTGTTCAGTGAAGAGCACCCCTTCAATTTCCAACCCTCAAACCTGCGGCATTCATAGCCATCCCCTGACTGACATAATTAAAGTAAATACAGCTACAATTAAAAGTTAAACGGTGCATAACGGTGCCACCTCTCTGTTTTCTGTTGGCTGACAATGAACAAACACGAACACGCAAATGTGCACACACTAGTCAGCTGCTAACACCCAACCCGTCAGCCTTTCGCGTTTCCAACTCCAGCACAACAGCCTCATGCCACATCACTGGAGCTGATCACGCATCTTCTCGACTGCTCCCGTCAACCGATCACGGAAATCTTTCCCGGTTTGGCTGTACCCAGCAATGCCCACCAGCCCCGCAATGCTCATGCGGCCCATGATCTTTCGGATGCAATGCAGCTTTGGATGCTTCTTGTTGTTCTTGAGCACGGAGGTTTGCCCAGCACGCTCCATCTCCAACAACTCAATGAGCTCTGCTGCGTTCTCCTCCAATCCCATCTGCGCCACTTTGGCCCTCAATGGCTCCAGAACCAAAGCCAACAGCTCTCCAGCGCCTAGCTCTTGTAGCACAGTGCGCTGCTGCTTGTCAAGCTTTGGAATCCGTTGTCCATGAGGCATGTGGCAAAAGCCGCCTCAGATAAACCATGCGATCAGGAGGCCAGGCGGCCAGGGTATGAACATATTGATGATAATATAGATATGATTAATGCACATCATTAGCTACGTATGTGTACTGTAAATATACATATATATACATATATGTGTACAATACGCTGACTGTAAATTAATTGTGTGTATATATATATATATTATGGCACATGCGACTGCCTGCACACCCCTACTCTTTGACTTGATTGAATCCAACAATACCGAACATAATTATCCCAACATCGTTGGAAACAGTCTCTTCCTACTTGTAGCAGCTTCAGCATGCCTCAGCCAAGGTACAATCTGCTCCCTTGGTGCAAGTACCGCAAGAAAGGTGGTAAATGCAAGGGCGTCGACACAAACCCCACTCATGACCGATGCTGCCAAGACTTGGAGGTCCTGGTTCTACTTCTTCTGACTTCGTCGCGTCATTCTCGGCTTCAGCCACTTCTGGTTGCTCAGCCACGAGAGCCAAATCTCGTTCAGCCATCTGCTGCGAGAGCTGACTCACATAGGCCTCGGCACCAAACTACACGGGGGGAAAGGTGGAAGGCGAGCACGACGGGTCTTTGGGTTGAAATCATTGTAAGCAACAATGCTGATTATCAACAAAGATTCACAGATAAGGCAACCACAACAAATGTTAAAATGCAGGTGCCAGGTGGCCATGAGAATAATGATCATCATGGCGGTGGTGATGATGATGATGATGAGGATGATGAGGATGAGAAGGATTGTGAGAAGGATGAGGAGGATGGGCACAAGGATGACAAAGAAAGCAAACAATATGTTCCATCGCTTTTCCGTCAGATAACACTCACGACAAAATCTATGCGATGCACATAGATGATCATAGATGAGCTATTCTCCCTGGAAGACAATAAAGTTATGAACATATTATGGAGTTTCGCGCGAGCTGGTTTTCAGAAAATTCTGATCGTGGCATTGCTATAAGCGTTTCTATACTATCAAGTGGTTTTTCTGATGCATTGTTCGTTTGTTTTTGGTGACTTGTGACTTTGGAACGCTTATTGGCCATTTGTATCCGAACATTTCTGATTCTACAGGTTTTGAACCTTAAGCCTCCAACTTGAACATCAAGAATCAGAATTTTCTGATTGTGATCAGAATTTTCTGATTGTTATCCAAAAAAAAATCCAAATCAGAATTTTCTGATTGTGATCAGGATTTTCGGATTGTGATCAGAATTTTCCGATTGTAATCAGAATTTTCTGATTGTGATCAGAATTTTCTGATTGTGATCAGAATTTTCTGATTGTGATCAGAATTTTCTGATTGTGATCAGAATTTTCTGATTGTGATCAGAATTCTCTGATTGTGATCAGAATTTTCTGATTGTGATCAGAATTTTCTGATTGTGATCAGACTTTTTCTGATTGTGATCAGAATTTTCCGATTGTGATCAGAATTTTCTGATTGTGATCAGAATTTTCTGATTGTGATCAGAATTTTCTGATTGTGATCAGAATTTTCTGATTGTGATCCAAAAAAAATGCAAATCATAATTTTTTGATCACAATCAGAAAATTCTGATTGTGATCAGAAACTTCACTCAATAAGCGTTTTTTTCCTCAATTTTGATGATTTTTGATGCAACATTGAGGAAAAAACGCTTATTGAGTGAATCTTCTGATCACAATCAGAATTTTCTGATTGTGATCAGAATTTTCTGATTGTGATCAAATTGAGGAAAAAAACGCTTATTGAGTGAATTTTCTGATCACAATCAAAATTTTCTGATTGTGATCAGAATTTTCTGATTGTGATCAAATTGAGAAAAAAAGCTTATTGAGTGAATTTTCTGATCACAATCAGAATTTTCTGATAATGATCAGAATTTTCTGATTGTGATCAAATTGAGAAAAAAACACACGCTTTTTGAGAAATAAACAAAGCCGAAAGACCGAAAACAACAAACAAAGACTTAAAACAATTCTTTGCTTCGACCGACCCCCCCGTCATATAAACCCTGGCATACATTCTGGAATTCTATTATCTGTAATTTCTTCTCGTGTCGCTTCGGGCGTTCTATCTGGCATCAAATATGGCGTTCTATCTGGCAAATCTTTTGCAAATTTTACCTGGCAAAAGTTCTGGCGTTCTGCCTGGCATACATTCTGATCCGACTGGTGAAAAGTTAGATTGCTGAAGATTTGCCGGGTTTGGGTCTCATGTCGCGACCACCGTTTTTGTTTGCCTGTTTGCTGGTTTTCACCCATCGAATGGAAGAGCAATATGACATCATATAGCATACATATTTATGTTTGGTACAGGGCTTGAGCCAGGACAAGTAGCTGGAACGCTTGATATGCGTTCTTGTGCACCTTCCATTTCAACATGACACTTTGGTACGCTTCTGAGGCCTCCCGGTAACCTAAAGTGAGGTCCGAACGCATATCCCACAAAAAAACATTCTCCCACGAAACTTCATAGAACATATTTGAAAATAAGACAAGTTATGATAAACTACATAACAATGACAATGACACAAATGACCTCATGATGAAGACCCTCCGACTCTCTGACTCTCTCTGAAGGAGTCCCTGACACCTGAAACCTGCCGAGGCGCCTGGTATTGAACCTCCTCATCTGCAGTTGGGGCGCTGCCCAAAGCTGGCAAGCTGCGGGAACGAGGCAAGGCTCCAATGGCCGGAGCCTCCACGGTGTCGATGAAGGTCAAGCGGTAGGTCAACTCAAAGGCCATGACCTCAGTATCAACTCCGCGGAACGGCGCCAAAAGAGGGTGGACATATTGATCTTTTTTTATCAAAGGAAGTTTAGTTTGAAAACTTCCGAGTTACGGACGATTGTCATGGGCAGCATTCTCACCATCATCATCATCATCATCACCATCATCATCATCATCAAGTAGTTGGGAAGTGTAACAGGTCGGGAAGTTCCGATCCACAAATCTGAATGGGAAGGTCGAACAACATAACAGAAATACAAAGAAATATGTTAAACAAGGCTTCCAAAAAATGCAACTGAAGGGAGTGAATTCAGGCTTGAAAAGACTCTCGGCCGCGAAACCCTGCGTTTTTTTCGGGTAAAGTGGCTTTCCGTGGTCGCGAAGTAGGGTCTGTTTCCGTGGTCTCGGGCCTCGATCTGCAACAGTTGTCGACAAAAAGTGCACAGGACTGTAGCGAAAGCTCGATTTCACATAAACATGTTTAAGCACTGGGGAGTTCAAATTACTTTTAGAAGGTGAGGTCGGCAAATTTCATTGATTCATTGATTCATATCATTGATTCATTGATTGATTGATTGATTGATTCATTCATTCATTCATTCCTTTCAATAATTCATTCATTAAGTCAGTCAGTTCGTTCATTCATTCATGCATTCATTCATTAATTCCTTCCTTCGTTCATTCGTTCGTTCGTTCATTCATTCGTTTGTTCGTTCATTCATTTCATTTCGTTTCACTTCACTCCACTCATTAATTCATTCATTCCATTCCATTCCACTCCACTCCACTTCACTTCACTTCACTTGACTTCACTTCACTCATTCATTTCATTCATTTCATTCATTTCATTCCTTTCATTCATTTCATTCGTTTCATTCATTTCACTTTATTACTTATATAATACAATTCATTCATTGAGTCAGTCATTTATTCATTCATTTCATTCATTCATTCTTTCTTTCTTTCTTTCCTCTTTCTTTCTTTCTTTTTTCTTTTTTTCTTTCTTCCTTTCTTTCTTTCTTTCTTTCATTCATTCCATTCCATTCCTTTCAATAATTCATTCATTAAGTCAGTCAGTTCGTTCATTCATTCATCCATTCATTCATTAATTCCTTCCTTCGTTCATTCGTTCGTTCGTTCATTCATTCGTTCGTTCGTTCATTCATTTCATTTCGTTTCACTTCACTCATTAATTCATTCATTCCATTCCATTCCATTCCACTCCACTCCACTCCACTTCACTTCACTTCACTTATTTCATTCATTTCATTCATTTCATTAATTTCATTCATTTCATTCTTTGCATTCATTTCACTTTATTAATTATATAATACAATTCATTCATTCAGTCAGTCATTTATTCATTCATTTCATTCATTTCATTCATTCATTCTTTCTTCTTTCTTTCTTTCCTTCTTCCTTTCTTTCTTTCATTTCATTCATTCCATTCATTCCATTCCTTCCACTCATTCCATTCATTCCTTTCATTCCTTTCATTCCATTCATTCATTGATTCATTGATTCATTGATTCATTCTTTCATTCTTTCATTCTTTCATTCTTTCATTCTTTCATTCTTTCGTTCATTCATTTCATTCATTTCATTCATTTATTCGTTCACTCACTCACTCGCTCACTTCATTCATGCATCCATTCATTCATTCATTAATTCATTCATTAATTCATTACTTCATTCATTCATTCATTCATTCATGCATTCATTCATTAATTCATTCATTAATTCATTCATGCATTCATTCCTTTTATTCATTCCTTCCTCCATTCATTCACTCATTTCATCTCATTTCATCTCATTTCATTTCATTTCATTCACTCATTCATGCAATTCAATTCAACTCAATTCAATCATTAATCCATTGACTTCAATGCATTCATTTCAATTCACCTCTTTCCAGCTCACCAACAATTCCGATAAGCAAACTGGTTCTTATAGCCATGTCCTATTTTTGAAACTTCCGCCCCGGCGCGTGCCGGGCACTCCCTGGTATGTTATGTGCCGGTGCCATAAATACATGTATTAGTTATACACATGTATTTCTTTAAATACATATCCCCCCACATAAAAGTAAATATGGATCAATCAAATTATGCTCTTCATCATGTGCAGAGTCTAAAGTCTATACATATCCATGTTCAAAACATCAAGTAAAATTTATGAGTCGCACGTTTCAAAGTGTTTCCCAGCCTGATCTGTCGCTTACACGCGAAGTGAGCAGTTCAAGACTCTGAGCCCAAGTGCTGAAGAAAAAACCACCAACGCTATGCCATGCTCCAGCTAGCATCAAACCTGAACTTCCCCAATTCTGCCTGGATTCACCCGATCTGGCCACAACATGCCACAGCTACTTACATAGCACCAAGTTGATCAAGCTGTGGGTGTGTCATACCAGTTCTACCTGTCATTGGCAGCATGAGAAGCAAGCGGCGGAGTAAAACCGTGCCAAGCGTTCATCATTCAACATGAGTTGGTATCATGGTTGCCACTCTTTATTCGTTTATTTTTGAGCCAATGACTATCAGCCAATGACTAATCATTTCCACATCACCTCTCTTTTTGCACCTTGCACACGTCAACGCCAGCTCCAGCGCACTTTGGACGCCGCTACGGTGCTACGGTGCCGGCATCTCTTGGCTGATCGCCAAGACCTGACTTATGACTTGACATCACCCACTCAGGTCTAAAATGGTCGGATGTCTAAGAGTCTTGGACCTGCTCACTCTTTATCTTTCACGTCGGAGCCGGAGCTGCTTGAAAAATCCTTGATTTAGCAGCAGGTTTGGACACGGTATGCCATGAAGCAAGCGAGGAATGCTTGAACACATCGACTGACGGCAGCAATAAGCGGCACGATACCAAGACTCGGACACTTCAGAGTGGCGATGCCGGGAATGCTGCTGCAGCCTGCACGGGTCAGGTTCATTCAAATTGGTTCAATTTGTAAATGATTCTGTGGGATCCATTTCAATGGACTTGACAAGCTCATGACCAGGGAAGATTGCACACATCATGCGCACTCTGAATCTTTTTCGGCAGCGTTATATCAGATACAGGTTTCATTTTGGCCCAGAAATGCTCCCTCAGCCGCTTCCAAGCCAACGATAGCCAACGTGGGTTTGGTGGCCGCGGAGTGTCAAAATGTTTCCGCTCAACATCACGGGTGAGGCTTATGCCTATGCTCCATCCTGGAAAGTTGAGAACTGCTAGTCGGAAAAAAGACGTGGTGTTTACCAAGTTGTTGGCCCCCACATATATAAGACAACTATCTATCTATATATATATATATATATACGTGAGTAGCGGACAAAATAATTTGTTAAAATTAATGCCATGCACAAATTAGGGTCCTCCCCGATCGGCTGTGAGGATTTCAGTACTCCCGGAGGTATCACCAATGGGGTATCGGTATGGGGCCTAAGGCTTGCCAGGATCTATCGGAGCCAGTTCCGCTCTGGCATGCCCTCATTTCAGACCATATGTGCCGAGGTCAGGGAAACTCAGCTGGGTCCAGATAGAGGTCTTTTTGCAGCCAATCACCACTCCTGAATCAGTGTCTTCTCTGTTTACTTGCTGCATCACCACAGTGACTCTCAACATACAACGTGAAATACACTAACGTGAATGTAACAATAATATAAGTGAATGCGTTGAAACATTCTGAGACAGCACTGCAAGTTGACTGACTGATGTTTCGACCCCTCGCCAAGCTTGTGAATTCAATTTGCAGCATTCAATGCCTCCAGAGTATCGCTTTAAAGGCACTGCTAGACAATTGGACGGCTACCCTCGAAGGATATCGATAGGGTTTTCTGACAGGGCCCAGAGCAGAGCTTTGGAGCACCCCGGAGAAATGAGAAGTGATCATAAATCATCGTGAACTTCGTGAACTCATGGGTTAATCAGAGAATGGGATTTTGGCATATTTTGGCTGTGTTCCGCAAAGGCGTGGTTTTCTTATCCTTTTACCATCCTTTACCATCTTTTATCCTACAGTATTGACCGCCCAGGTGATGTGCACTTGAAAGACTGCGCCCAGCTATTTGTCAAGCTGCTGGCGTCGGAAAGGGCCCAAGTGATGCACTGGGGAGCAGTGATGCGGCATCGAATGGCTGAACCTTTGAAACCGCTCCCTGCAGTCACGGCCGCTGAATTCAAGAATTACAGTGTGCACTATGCCGTGCCATCCAGTCTGCTTGCTGGAGTTTAATACTGGCAGGCAATCTTCAGCATCTTCGGCAATCTTCGGCGTGCTCCCAGCTTCAGGCGATAGATTCAGGGCCTGCCGTAAGGAGCATTTCGGTCGCAAGATCAGTTTGATCCTGTTGAACCACTGGACACTGTACCAGTGAATTTCATCGCACGTACTGCAACATGCAATGACTCAATGACACATAATGGAAACGTCGACGTGATGGCTGATTGGCCGGATGTACCAGCCTCCCGCGTGGTATTTTCTGCTCTTACGGCTGTACCACTAGACGACGGATGGCCCGAGAGCGTAGAGGAGCAGGGTCTTCTCTTGTTAGTATGGAGACACAATTTTACAAACAATATATGAAAGATGTGTTATAGGCAGTCGAGAAGAGAAGTAGCAAGACAAAATAGTGAGAAGTGCAAGACAATAGTTTGCATCGCAAACACTTTTACACACAGACGCTTTTACACACAAAAGTTTTTACACACAGAAGCTTTTACACACAGAAGCTTTTACACAGAGGCTATTACACACAAAGCTGTTACCCACAGAAGCTTTTACATACAGACGCTTTCACACACAGATGTTTTTACACACAGACGCTTTTACACGGACACTTTTACACACAGACATGTTTACACACAGACACTTTTACACACAGACCTTTTTACAGACAGGAGCTGCTTTTACACACAAACGCTTTGACACACAGAAGCTTTTACACATAGACGCTTTTACACGCAGGCACTTTTACACACAAACACTTTTACACACAAACACTTTTACACACAAACACTTTTACACACAGACGCTTTTACACGCAGACGCTTGTGCGCACAGAAGCTTTTACACACAAACACTTTTACGCAGAAACACTTTGACACACAGACGCTTTTACACACAGACGGCTTTACACACAAGCGCTTTTACACACAATCACTTGTACACACAGACGCTTTTACACAGAGGCCGGCCCAGGTAGTCACAGCGAAGTCATCGTTGTCGTGGCGACCTCAGCAATCCGACGGGGTGGTGGCGAAGTCCTATTTCCATGTGCCTCGAAACCAGCATGTATAAACATGTCATGCGGGCTATGTGCTTTGGGGCCCCCCAACCAAGGTGGTTTGCCATACACAAACACTTTTACACACAGAAGCTTTTACATACAAACACTTTTACACACAGACGCTTTTACACACAAACGCTTTGACACACAGACGCTTTTACACACAGACAACCTCTACACACAGACGCTTTTTACACGAAACGCTTTCACACACAAACACATTTACACACAGAGGCTTTTACACAGAAACACTTGAACACAAACACTTTTACACACAAACACTTTTACACACAGACGCTTTTACACACAGACACTTTGACACACAGACGCTTTTACACACAGACGCTTTTACACACAGAGACTTTTACACACAGACGCTTTTTACACACAGGCGCTTTTACACACAGACAAGAACGGCACAAGTAAAATCGCACTTTTACCTCAGTTTTTGCCGATCGACCCTCATTTCGCGCGAAAGGGTTGCTCCAGGACAAGTAAAATCGCAATTTACCTCAGTTTTTGCCGATCGACCCTCGTTTCGTGCGAAAGGGTTGCTCCAGGACAAGTAAAATCGCACTTTTACCTCAGTTTTTGCCGATCGACCCTCATTTCGTGCGAAAGGGTTGCTCCGGCACAAGTATAATCGCAATTTTACCTCAGTTTTTGCCGATCGACCTTCATTTCGTGCGAAAGGGTTGCTCCGGGGCAAGTCAAATCGCAATTTTACCTCAGTTTTTGCCGATCGACCATCATTTCGTGCGAAAGGGTTGCTCCGGGGCAAGTCAAATCGCAATTTTACCTCAGTTTTTGCCGATCGACCCTCATTTCGTGCGAAAGGGTTGCTCCGGGGCAAGTCAAATCGCAATTTTACCTCAGTTTTTGCCGATCGACCCTCATTTCGTGCGAAAGGGTTGCTCCGGGACAAGTCAAATAGCAATTTTACCTCAGTTTTTGCCGATCGACCCTCATTTCCTGCGAAAGGGTTGACGTTTCGTGACTCGCCGCCGGCACCACCCTCGGCCTTAAGAGAGGAAGATAAAAAGAAGGCATGAGAGAGAAGGTGAGCAGGTGTGAAGATAAGCAGATGTGAAGATGAGCAGATGTGAACATGAGCAGATGTGAAGATGAGCAGATGTGAAGATGAGCAGATGTGAAGATGAGAAGATGGGAAGGTGTGAAGATGAGCAGATGTGAAGATGAGCAGATGTGAAGATGAGCAGGTGTGAAGATGAGCAGGTGTGAAGATGAGCAGATGTGAAGATGAGCAGATGTGAAGATGAGCAGATGTGAAGATGAGCAGATGTGAAGATGAGCAGATGTGAAGATGAGCAGATGTGAAGATGAGCAGATGTGAAGATGAGCAGATGTGAAGATGAGAAGATGTGAAGATAAGAAGATGTGAAGATGAGCAGATGTGAAGATGAGCAGATTTGAAGATGAGCAGATGTGAAGATGAGCAGATGTGAAGATGAGCAGATGTGAAGATGAGAGGATGTGAAGATGAGCAGATGTGAAGATGAGAGGATGTGAAGATGAGAGGATGTGAAGATGAGCAGATGTGAAGATGAGAGGATGTGAAGATGAGATGTGAAGATGAGAAGATGTTTTACAGACCCCCACTATTGGAAGAACCCTGCGCTCAGACGCTCTCGGGAATAACTAGACTCTACAAATAAAAATGGGGAGGGAACAGCATCACTCGACAAGAAAATACCGCTGTTGGAAACACAGGGCTGCACCAAGAATGTCCAAGACTGCCATAGAATATTTGGAACATTATCTCCCTTGTCGCTTGTTTCCAAAGACACGGAATGGAAATGTACAACTACAAGAATTGGCACCAACAAAGGTTTGATAGTTCGCAGGCTGAAAAAGCCCCGGGGCCTGAAAAACAGCTTCATTCAATTAGATTTGATCGTCACAGAAGCTATGTAATTATATTTTGGATCCTATTTTGGTTCTACTTTGCAGTTTTTGCACAGCTTTCAGCCGTGCCTGCTAACCACCCCGGGTCACCCTTGGTGAGAATTTTCTTCACACAGGGCTTCAGCTCTGCTATCTCCTGTGAAAGAGATCCTGTGCAGCCTTGCTGGTGCCACTGGCAACACCTCCATGGCATGGCCAGTTTTCCTCAGGTCTAGGACACCTATGCCATCCTAAACCTGTCAGCCTTAATGGCCAATAACGGCCACGACGGCCTCTCATCTGTCCTGTCATGGTGTAAATCTGTAGGCACGCCCTGGGAGAACAACCACCACTTCCGATCATGCAACAAGTGAACCAGTGAAAGCAAGAACAATGTATATACATTCAGTGAGGATCATCTCAACAACGTCCAACCCACAGCGAGCATCAAAGTCATCAGCTAGTAGCATGAACTGACTGGCCCCTGAACAAACATGTGGTGAACATATGCAGGTTGCCCCCGCCTGGCGGATTCCAAACTCCAAGGCGACAGAGGCCACATCACTGGAGCTGGTTTCGCATCTTCTCGACTGCTCCCGTCAACCGATCACGAAAATCTGTCCCGGTCTGGCTGTAACCAGCAATGCCCACCAGGCCCGCAATGCTCATGCGGCCCATGATCTTTCGGATGCAATGCAGCTTTGGATGCGTCTTGTTGTTCTTGAGCACGGAGGTTTGCCCAGCACGCTCCATCTCCAACAACTCAATGAGCTCTGCTGCGTTCTCCTCCAATCCCATCTGCGCCACTTTGGCCCTCAATGGCTCCAGAACCAAAGCCAACAGCTCTCCAGCGCCTAGCTCTTGTAGCACAGTGCGCTGTTGCTTGTCAAGCTTTGGAACTCGCTCTCCATGAGGCATGTGGCAAAAGCCGCCTCAGCAAGCTCAAGAGCGCCATCAAGAGGTGTCAGGCTAGAACAAACGAGTGTTTTCGTAGCTGTGCTGACGTGCTCCTTGCAATCTATTCATATCACTACTGTTTGGCATGGTCGCTTCATGTATCTTTATGTAATGATTTCCTGCTGATAGTTGCGAGCATCTTCAGCATGCTTCAGCCAAGGCACAATCTGCTCCCTTTGTGCACTTACCGCAAGCAAGGTGGTAAATGCAAGGGCGTCGACACAAACCCCACTCATGACCGATGCTGCCAAGACTTGGAGGTCCTGGTTCTGCTTCTTCTGACTTCGTCGCGTCATTCTCGGCTTCAGCCACTTCTGGTTGCCGAGCCAGGAAAGTCAAATCTTTCTCAGCCATCTGCTGCGAGAGCTGACTCACATAGGCCTTTGGCACCAAACTACACCACACATCAATACAAATCATGTTTTTTTTTGCTTGGCGATTTCCCAGGTACGGTCATGTCGATGACAAAATCATGCGATGCACATAGATGATCATAGATGAGCTATTCTCCCAGGAAGACAATAAAGTGATGAACATATTTGAAAATAAGACAAGTTATGATAAACTACATAACAATGACAATGACACAGATGACCTCAGGATGAAGACCCTCCGACTCTCTGACTCTCTGTGAAGGAGTCACTGACACCTGAAAACCTGCCGAGGCGCCTGGTATTGAACCTCCTCATCTGCAGTTGGGGCGCTGCCCAAAACTGGCAAGCTGCGGGAACGAGGCAAGGCTCCAATGGCCGGAGCCTCCACGGTGTCGATGAAGGTCAAGCGGTAGGTCAACTCAAAGGCCATGACCTCAGTATCAATTCCGCGGAACGGTGCCAAAAGAGGGTGGACATATCATATAATTTGAGTATACCCTCTGGAAATGTCTAGAATCTATTTCAGGGTTCATCATGTGCAGCATCTGTAAAGGACATCAAGTGAGATGCGTTGTTTGCACATTTCAGTGTTGCCTAGCCTCACAACCGCGTCAGACACTCAATGTCAAAGTGAGCAGTTCGAGATTCTGAGCCAAAGTGCTGAGCAAAGATTATGATCCCATCTAAATAATGGGCATATCATACCGTTTCTACCTGGGTGAGAAACAGCGAAACAACACCAGCTTCGTTCGGCCTCTGGTCACCTCTTGTCGCTCCTGGCTTCAGGCAGCTCAAGAATCCTGCGGCACTCTTGGCTGCCAAGACCTAAGGTGCACTAATTGAGCAGAGTTCGAAACCGGGGATTGTCATTCCATTCTCTCTCTTTGGTTAATAGTGATTCCCGAATGGATGATGATAGTCAGAAAACTTCCGAGTTACGGACGATTGTCATGGGCAGCATTCTCACCACCATCATCATCATCATCATCATCATCATCAAGTAGTTGGGAAGTGTAACAGGTCGGGAAGTTCCGATCCACAAATCTGAATGGGAAGGTCGAACAACATAACAGAAATACAAAGAAATATGTTAAACAAGGCTTCCAAAAAATGCAACTGAAGGGAGTGAATTCAGGCTTGAAAAGACTCCCGGGCGCGAAACCCGGCGTTTTTTCGGGTAAAGTGGCTTCCGTGGTCGCGAAGTAGGGTCTGTTTCCGTGGTCTCGGGCCTCGATCTGCAACAGTTGTCGACAAAAAGTGCACAGGACTGTAGCGAGAGCTCGATTTCACATAAACATGTTTACACACTGGGGAGTTCAGATTACTTTTAGAAGGTGAGGTCGGCAAGTTTCATTGATTCATTGATTCGTTGATTCATTGATTGATTGATTGATTGATTCATTGATTCATTGATTCATTGATTCATTGATTCATTGATTCATTGATTGATTGATTGATTCATTCATTCATTTCATTCATTTCATTCATTTCATTCATTCATTTCATTCATTTCATTCATTCATTTCATTCATTCATTTCATTCATTCATTTCTTTCATTTCCTTTCATTTCATTTCATTTCGTTTCGTTTCATTTCGTTTCATTTCGTTTCGTTTCATTTCATTTCATTTCATTTTCATTCATTCATTCATTTCATTCATTCATTCATTCAGTCATTCGTTCGTTCATTCATTTCATTCATTTCATTCATTTCATTCATTTCATTCATTTCATTCATTTCATTCATTTCATTCATGCATTCATGCATTCATGCATTCATTCTTTAATTCATTCATTACTTCATTCATGCATTCATTCCTTTTATTCATTCCTTCCTTCATTTCATTCACTCAATTTCATCTCATCTCATTTCATTTCATTCACTCATTCATGCAATTCAATTCAACTCAATTCAATCATTAATCCATTGACTTCAATGCATTCATTTCAATTCACCTCTTTCCAGCTCACCAACAATTCCGATAAGCAAACTGGTTCTTATAGCCATGTCCTATTTTTGAAACTTCCGCCCCGGCGCGTGCCAGGCAATCCCTGGTATGTTATGTGCCGGTGCCATAAATACATGTATTAGTTATACACATGTATTTCTTTAAATACATATCCCCCCACATAAAAGTAAATATGGATCAAATTATGCTCTTCATCATGTGCAGAGTCTAAAGTCTATACATATCCATGTTCAAGACATCAAGTAAAATTTATGAGTCGCACGTTTCAAAGTGTTTCCCAGCCTGATCTGTCGCTTACACGCGAAGTGAGCAGTTCAAGACTCTGAGCCCAAGTGCTGAAGAACAAACTACCAACGCTATGCCATGCTCCAGCTAGCATCAAACCTGAACTTCCCCAATTCTGCCTGGATTCACCCGATCTGGCCACAACATGCCACAGCTACTTACACAACACCAAGTTGATCAAGTTGTGGGTGTGTCATACCAGTTCTACCTGTCATTGGCAGCATGAGAAGCAAGCGGCGGAGTAAAACCGTGCCAAGCGTTCATCATTCAACATGAGTTGGTATCATGGTTGCCACTCTTTATTCGTTTATTTTTGAGCCAATGACTATCAGCCAATGACTAATCATTTCCACATCACCTCTCTTTTTGCACCTTGCACACGTCAACGCCAGCTCCAGCGCACTTTGGACGCCGCTACGGTGCTACGGTGCCGGCATCTCTTGGCTGATCGCCAAGACCTGACTTATGACTTGACATCACCCACTCAGGTCTAAAATGGTCGGATGTCTAAGAGTCTTGGACCTGCTCACTCTTTATCTTTCACGTCGGAGCCGGAGCTGCTTGAAAAATCCTTGATTTAGCAACAGGTTTGGACACGGTATGCCATGAAGCAAGCGAGGAATGCTTGAACACATCGACTGACGGCAGCAATAAGCGGCACGATACCAAGACTCGGACACTTCAGAGTGGCGATGCCGGGAATGCTGCTGCAGCCTGCACGGGTCAGGTTCATTCAAATTGGTTCAATTTGTAAATGATTCTGTGGAATCCATTTCAATGGACTTGACAAGCTCATGACCAGGGAAGATTGCACACATCATGCGCACTTCTGAATCTTTTTCGGCAGCGTTATATCAGATACAGGTTTCATTTTGGCCCAGAAATGCTCCCTCAGCCGCTTCCAAGCCAACGTGGGTTTGTTGGCCGCGGAGTGTCAAAATGTTTCCGCTCAACATCACGGGTGAGGCTTATGCCTATGCTCCATCCTGGAAAGTTGAGAACTGCTAGTCGGAAAAAAGACGTGGTGTTTACCAAGTTGTTGGCCCCCACAAATATAAGACAACTATATATATATATACACATATACATGAGTAGCGGACAAAATAATTTGTTAAAATTAATGCCATGCACAAATGAGGGTCCTCCCCGATCGGTTGTGAGGATTTCAGTACTCCCGGAGGTATCACCAATGGGGTATCGGTATAGGGCCTAAGGCTTGCCAGGATCTATAGGAGCCAGTTCCGCTCTGGCATGCCCTCATTTCAGACCATATGTGCCGAGGTCAGGGAAACTCAGCTGGGTCCAGATAGAGGTCTTTTTGCAGCCAATCACCACTCCTGAATCAGTGTCTTCTCTGTTTACTTGCTGCATCACCACAGTGACTCTCAACATACAACGTGAAATACACTAACGTGAATGTAACAATAATATAAGTGAATGCGTTGAAACATTCTGAGACAGCACTGCAAGTTGACTGACTGATGTTTCGACCCCTCGCCAAGCTTGTGAATTCAATTTGCAGCATCCAATGCCTCCAGAGTATCGCTTTAAAGGCACTGCTAGACAATTGGACGGCTACCCTGATCACTTCTCATTTCTCCGGGGTGCTCCAAAGCTCTGCTCTGGGCCCTGTCAGAAAACCCTATCGATATCCTTCGATAAATCATCGTGAACTTCGTGAACTCATGGGTTACTCAGAGAATGGGATTTTGGCATATTTTGGCTGTGTTCCGCAAAGGCGTGGTTTTCTTATCCTTTTACCATCTTTTACCATCTTTTATCCTACAGTATTGACCGCCCAGGTGATGCGCACTTGAAAGACTGCGCCCAGCTATTTGTCAAGCTGCTGGCGTCGGAAAGGGCCCAAGTGATGCACTCGGGAGCAGCGCTCCCTGCAGTCACGGCCGCTGAATTCAAGAATTACAGTGTGCACTATGCCGTGCCATCCAGTCTGCTTGCTGGAGTTTAAATACTGGCAGGCAATCTTCGGCATCTTCGGCGTGCTCCCAGCTTCAGGCGATAGATTCAGGGCCTGCCGTAAGGAGCATTTCGGTCGCAAGATCAATTTGATCCTGTTGAACCACTGGACACTGTACCAGTGAATTTCATCGCACGTAATGAGACATGCAATGACTCAATGACACATAATGCAAACGTCGACGTGATGGCTGATTGGCCGGATGTACCAGCCTCCCGCGTGGTATTTTCTGCTCTTACGGCTGTGCCATAACTAGACTCTACACATAAAAATGGGGGGGAAACAGCATCACTCGACAAGAAAATACCGCTGTTGGAAACACAGGGCTGCACCAAGAATGTCCAAGACTGCAATAGAATATTTGGAACATTGTCTCCCTGGTCGCTTGTTTCCAAAGACACGGAATAGAAATGGTGACTACAACCTACAACTAAGAATTGGCACCAACAAAGGTTTGATGGTTCGCAGGCTGAAAAAGCGCCGGGACCTGAAAAACAGCTTCATTCAATTATATTTGATCGTCACAGAAGCTATGTAATTATATTTTGGATCCTATTTTGGTTCTACTTTGCAGTTTTTGCACAGCTTTCAGCCGTGCCTGCTAACCACCCCGGGTCACCCTTGGTGAGAATTTTCTTCACACAGGGCTTCAGCTCTGCTATCTCCTGTGAAAGAGATCCTGTGCAGCCTTGCTGGTGCCACTGGCAACACCTCCATGGCATGGCCAGTTTTCCTCAGGTCTAGGACACCTGTGCCATCCTAAACCTGTCAGCCTTAATGGCCAATAACGGCCACGACGGCCTCTCATCTGTCCTGTCATGGTGTAAATCTGTAGGCACGCCCTGGGAGAACAACCACCACTTCCGATCATGCAACAAGTGAACCAGTGAAAGCAAGAACAATGTATATACATTCAGTGAGGATCATCTCAACAACGTCCAACCCACAGCGAGCATCAAAGTCATCAGCTAGTAGCATGAACTGACTAGCCCCTGAACAAACATGTGGTGAACATATGCAGGTTGCCCCCGCCTGGCGGATTCCAAACTCCAAGGCGACAGAGGCCACATCACTGGAGCTGGTCTCGCATCTTCTCGACTGCTCCCGTCAACCGATCACGAAAATCTGTCCCGGCCTGGCTGTAACCAGCAATGCCCACCAGGCCCGCAATGCTCATGCGGCCCATGATCTTTCGGATGCAATGCAGCTTTGGATGCTTCTTGTTGTTCTTGAGCACGGAGGTGTGCCCAGCACGCTCCATCTCCAACAACTCAATGAGCTCTGCTGCGTTCTCCTCCAATCCCATCTCTGCCACTTTGGCCCTCAATGGCTCCAGAACCAAAGCCAACAGCTCTCCAGCGCCTAGCTCTTGTAGCACAGTGCGCTGTTGCTTGTCAAGCTTTGGAACTCGCTCTCCATGAGGCATGTGGCAAAAGCCGCCTCAGCAAACTCAAGAGCGCCATCAAGAGGTGTCAGGCTAGAACAAACGCAGTGTTTTCGTAGCTGTGCTGACGTGTTCCTTGCAATCTATTCATATCACTACTGTTTGGCATGGTCGCTTCATGTATCTTTATGTCATGATTTCCTGCCGATAGTTGCGAGCATCTTCAGCATGCTTCAGCCAAGGCACAATCTGCTCCCTTTGTGCACTTACCGCAAGCAAGGTGGTAAATGCAAGGGCGTCGACACAAACCCCACTCATGACCGATGCTGCCAAGACTTGGAGGTCCTGGTTCTGCTTCTTCTGACTTCGTCGCGTCATTCTCGGCTTCAGCCACTTCAGGTTGCTCAGCCCGGAAAGTCAAATCTTTCTCAGCCATCTGCTGCGAGAGCTGACTCACATAGGCCTTGGCACCAAACTACACCACACATCAATACACATTTTTTTTTTGCTTGGCGATTTCCGAGGTACGGTCATGTCGATGACAAAATCATGCGATGCACATAGATGATCATAGATGAGCTATTCTCCCAGGAAGACAATTAAAGGACCGGATAACCCCACAAGTCAACTTCTTCCTAAAATGAGCTTCAATGGTTTTAGCGGGGGCTGGGAAGAAAGGAAAGACAAAGGAGGTGGTGAAAGATCGAGAAGGTAAAACGGTAGGCATGTATGTATGTATGTATGTACGTACGTGCGTACGTACGTATGTATGTATGAGGGCACGTATGTATGAGAGTACGTGTGTATGTATGTAGTTGTATGTGTGTGACAAAGGTGCGTGTGAAAGATGCTGCGTGTCAAAGATGAAGTTGACGATGATGACATAGAGGAACGGTACCTGGCCGCAGAAGTGTAGAACACGAATGTAGCTGGTTGTCAATGCAACTATGGAGGACAAGTACAGAGCGCGTGCCTGTCAAGGCACGACACAGTCACAGGCATCTGCACGCGCTTCTTCCCACATTGGGTCAAAGCTCTGGCTCCCGAGGTCAGAGACTGCTTGACTCATTGTCAGGCTGTGAGACGCGCGCCTGTCCTCCGTCCAAGAAGTTCACTGGAAAGGTACCTGCGGCAATTGCAAAGACACAGAGGCTTCATGCGTGCGATCTTGTTACTACATGACAGCTGCAATATCTCGGCACAGTATAAGCCCAAAGAACCAATCTATTCTACATAGCTTAACCACAGTAGATAACTTATTGATCAACCGTATAGATGGTCTCGAATGAATGTCGCCGCCCGAATGCCACATCACGCCGCAAGTGCAGCTCCCGGCCTGCGCATAACTTCACCATTGACAAGCAACGCCTGGCAGCACAGAAAAAGGATCAAGACGAAACCACGAAATAAAATAGTTTTTTTTGGTAGAGATCCGCAGCGCAGCCTGCAGTTGTTGGCATCGACTGCAACAGAGCGGAAAAGTACCTGGCCGCAAAAGGACAGAACGCGTATATGCCGCCGCGACCCCAGTCTTCCCACATTGGGTCAACAATGGGTCTGGCAGCCAACAAAAATCTAGGAGAGTACTACGATGACTTCAACCCGTGACCTACGAAGAAAACCGCGCCTGCCCTAAGGTCACAGGCCCGATGACGATACCAGAACGGAAAAGTACCTGGCCGCAAAAGGACAGCGATGTATATGGAGCTGGTTGCCAAAGCAACAAATACAGAAAGGATAAAATTCAGGTTGCCGCACGAATGCCACCTTTTCCCCGTGATCAAAATCTTCACAAGGTCTGTAGCACTTCTTCCCACAGTGGGGCAAAATGCAGACATGTCACGAACATTTTTAATGTAGCCGTGGCGACTCCAGTCTTCCCACATTGAGTCAACCATGGGTCCCGCAGCTAACAAAAGGTGCGGTGGCCGTCGTCATTCTCATGTCTTCCCACACTGAGTCAATCATGAGATGAGAGCTGACAAAAGATTCGCAGGCCGGCCCCACGCATGTCTTCCCACAGTGAGTCAACAATGCGCGCGGCTAGTGCGTCTGACGACGTCAATGCGGCCGAATACAAACTCACTTCATTGCTCTCGCCAGCCTCTCAAAGCTCTATGATACCTTGCTAGTATTTGTTCTCGCACTTCGCATGATCGTTGCTGCAAATCCGCTTCTACGGTCAGGAGATTATCTTTCAGCATAGCGATGACAGCCAAGCTGTTGCGGCTAACTGCCCTGATCTCTTCTAACAGTGGTATCAATCGCTCCAGAAGTACGAGTAACGTCTGCACTAACCTCAATGCACTTGTGGCGCGTTCTAGCTCAATGAGCTTGCCAATGAGTTGATCATTTTCTGCCTCATACATGGCATTGTCCCTGGCACTATCTCTGGCATCCATCCCAGGCAACACTATGGAGACAGCTGCTGCTTCCTCCATTTGCCGCGCATCTTCGTTTGCGGCCACTTCAGTCGCGCGCAGCGGTCCGTTGAACGTCTGCCCGTCCTTCTTGCGGCGGGCACGCCAACCATTAGCAAGTTTTTGCACGACCGGGACAGAAAGCGCCTCCAATAGTCGATCCAAAACTTCTTGCAAGCGTTCACTGGAGACAGCTGCTGCTTCCTCCATTTGCCGCGCATCTTCGTGTGCAGCCTCTTCAGTCGCTCGCAGCGGTCCGTTGAACGTCTTGCCGTCCTTCTTGCGGCGGGCGCGCCAACCATTAGCACGTTTTTCCAACGCCATGGCTTCACGAAACAAATGCAAATGACTAGTTGGAATTGTGGTCGTAATGGTGGTAACACTATCCTCTGCAATGTCTGCTTCGGCGGCCTCTTTCCACGTTGGGCTAAGGGCACCAAGACAGAATTACGCAGCTCCGGTCGTTTCTTTCCACGTTGGGCCAAAACGATCAGAGCAGCCAGAGATGCTCCGATGACCGCATCTTTGCATGAAAATGACTAATTTCACTTGACTGACTAGTTGTAGTTGTGGTTGCGTCGTATGCTTGCTAGAGATGTTGTCCGCAAAAACTTCACTGACATTGTGGTTGTAGTGGTGGTAACACTACCCTCTGCAATGTCTGCTTCGGCGGCCTCTTTCCACGTTGGGCTAAGGTCAACAAAGCAGAATGGATTACACTGCACCGATCGTTTCTTTCCACGTTGGGCTAAAACGACCAGAGCAACAACAGATGATCCTATGACCGCATCTTTACCTTGACTGACTAGTTGTAGTTGTGTTGTAGTGGTATGCGTGCCAGAGCTGTTGTCTGCAACTTCTAGTTGGGCCAAAGCGACCAAAACAGAACGACAAGAACGACATGATGAAAGTCTGCATGTAAGAAACAGAATCTGTCATGTCTGCGCTGCACAGCGTTGCTGAAGCGCAGTTGAGCCCTGCCTGTCGACCACGAGCAAGACCAGCACCTGGCCGCAAGTGTGTGTGTGTGGAATGCAGCAGGCCGAAAGAAGAAAGTACTTAAACTAGTTGTAGTTTTGTAGTGGTATGCGTGCTAGAGCTGTTGTCTGCAACTTCTAGTTGGGCCAAAGCGACCAAAACAGAACGACAAGAACGACATGATGAAAGTCTGCATGCAAGAAACAGAATCTGTCATGTCTGCGCTGCACAGCGTTGCTGAAGCGCAGTTGGGCCCTGCCTGTCGACCACGAGCAAGACCAGCACCTGGGCGCAAGTGTGTGTGTGTGTGGAATGCAGCAGGCCGAAAGAAGAAAGTACTTAAACATGCCAAAATAAACATGCCAAAATCAAACATGCCGAAGCACGCAGAAAGAAGAAACATGCCGGAAGGACCGCATCTTTGCACGTGTTGTAGTGGTATGCGTGCTAGAGCTGTTGTCTGCAACTTCTAGTAGAAAGTACTTAAACATGCCAAAATCATCCAAAATCAAACATGCCGAAGCACGCGGAAAGCAGAAACATGCCGGAAGGACCGCATCTTTGCACGTGTTGTAGTGGTATGCGTGCTAGAGCTGTTGTCTGCAACTTCTAGTTGGGCCAAAGCGACCATGTCTGGGCCCTGCCTGTCGTAGCGACCACGTGGAAAGAAGAAACATGCCGGAAGGACCGCATCTTGGCACGTGTTGTAGTGGTATGCGTGCTAGAGCTGTTGTCTGCAACTTCTAGTTGGGCCAAAGCGACCAAAACAGAACGACAAGAACGACATGATGAAAGTCTGCATGCAAGAAACAGAATCTGTCATGTCTGCGCTGCACAGCGTTGCTGAAGCGCAGTTGAGCCCTGCCTGTCGACCACGAGCAAGACCAGCACCTGGCCGCAAGTGTGTGTGTGTGGAATGCAGCAGGCCGAAAGAAGAAAGTACTTAAACTAGTTGTAGTTGTGTGTGTGTACACTGCTATTCACATGCAGAAAACTACAACTGGACATTTGATGACTATGCACGTTATGTTTTCCGAATTCATGCGCCAAAGACTATGCACGTTATGTTTTCCGAATTCATGCGCCAAAGACTACTTAACAGCAGGGGGCTGCAGGGAATGTCATAGTTCTGCAGCCAACGAAGACGGCTATGACATTCTGTGATATCGATCCGGGACGCTGGATCGACGTACCTACCTAATCATGTCTTTCCATTTCCGCGATGGGATGTGGCTAACCCAAGAACCACCTTGCCGATTAATGATTTGGACCTGGTTTCACCTGTTTATCAAGGATGATGGACTCAGGATTCTACCAGGCATGTACAACCACATCGTCATTGCAGTTCACTTCCAAAAATCAACAGTGTGCATTAGTCATGTGTCCTATACAGACCATGACCTCATCATCCCTAATGGGGAAGAACAATCTTGGCATAGTGTGCCGAATCCGCCCTCTACGGAGGCAGAAGTTGAGCGAGTAGCCATAGGGGCTGCTAGAAGTGATGGCAATAGCCGAAGGGGGGTCAAGGACAATTGAAGGGTGGCATAAGCCGAAGGAGTGCCCAACGGGCGAATGGTGCCCATAGGGCGAAGGTGGCCATGTGCCGAAGGATTTTATTGGCCGGGAACCCTACTTCTTACTGTCATTTTATGAGTTTTCACCTTCTCTTTCAAATCAATTTACAATTGTGAGGACAAGAGACCAATTTGAAGAGATCTAGAATATAGGAAGACCTATCACAAAAGTGTGCGGACACACATAGTTTGTGATGCTCGAACCAAGCAGAATGTCAAACACGGTAGGGACTTTATCGCTGCAGATGTGTGTACGATCTTGATTCATGTTTTCGAGGTTTTCTACTGAGCGAACACTTCAAACCAATCCAATAATTGAGACCATAGTCTTGTGAAGTACCTCCTTCGCCATAGCTTATTTTCACTGGGATGTGTTAGCTACCGACAGATACAAGGCGCATCTATGGGCTCACAGTGGGCCCCAGTTGTATGTTCACTAGTTGCCCTACATCGAGAGCACACCTACAGCATGCCTTTTTGGACAAGCCATTTTTTCTGGAAAACTTTTTAGTTCCTTTCGTTATGTTGACAACCGTCTGCTTTTGGGTCCACAACAACTCACTGATCGCCTTCGACAAACTTGCTTTTGGAATTTAGACTTCTACACCTCGCCCATTCTTTTGGAAGAAGTACAGGGTTTTGATGCACTTGGATTCAACATCAATCCACATCAACGTACCATTACATCGGTATTGCCTTGGGACACAGTGATACGCACTTCCGCTGGTTTTGGACCTAGAAGCTACATGTATACAGGTCTCATTGCTCGAACACGTCTAATTTTACAAAATACTTTTCCTCGTGAACTTCAACTTCCTCAAGTTCAAGACCTGCTCGCCCTTCATACCCTTCAGAAACCTAGATACCGCGAATGCATTCCTCAGATCATTTCGATTGCCCACAGTTTTGGACACAAATGGACCAGATAACAATTGACACCGTTTGACTGAAAAGAAGCCGTTGTAGCTGCATTTTGGTTTTGTGCTTTTCATTCCAATTGCAACTTTGCAACTGTTGCAACTGTTCAAACGTTTTTCTGCAACATCCCACCCAAAACGCCTGGCTCGCAGTGTGATATTTGTTTTTCCGTAATTGATTATATTCAGTTCTCCAGCTTAGTTTACGTCCGTTGTTCTACTCTATATGGTTCACGGTACTGCAACACACTGGCTTAAGTGTTATATAACTGTGATTTAATCAATCCATTTACTGTTTTTCATCACTGCGTTCTATCTCAACCACCTGACCTACGTGTTCTACGCGTCGGAATCTCAGTTTTTGGCGAATTCTGCCCTTCGTCCATAGACAACTAATAAACGTTCATTTTAAACGGATTTGTGGAAGAACAAGAATACAATCGATTTGTGTCCATTTCATTTCGTGGTATCCATGTTTCAATTGAAGTGCAGTTCTCTTCACTTTTTAACACTCCAAAGTCATACTGTCCTTGCTCTATTTGTTCCACGCGTCGGCAACCCAGAAGTGTCACCTTCCTTATGAAGACATATGTATATATGTGTATACCGCTCTCCACACGCAAAGTGTTGCGCAATCTGCAACAAACAATTGATGTTCGTGAGGGACAAGGGCACGATAACTTTGGATTGCATCATATTCAATTATTTCGCTAATACAAACTTTGGATTGCATCATATTCAATCATTTCGCCAATAACAATTAACACCTTTTAATCTAACCATGTCCTTTCCATTTCGACTTTATTTATCGCGATTTCTTTGATCTACGTGGTCTACTTGCTCTACACGCAGTCTTTCAGAATTTGCCTTCCATGTGAAGGGGGTGCCCAACGGGCGAATGGTGCCCATAGGGCGAAGGTGGCCATGTGCCGAAGGATTTTATTGGCCGGGAACCCTGCTTCTTACTGTCATTTTATGAGTTTTCACCTTCTCTTTCAAATCAATTTACAATTGTGAGGACAAGAGATCAATTTGAAGAGATCTAGAATATAGGAAGACCTATCACAAAAGTGTGCGGACACACATAGTTTGTGATGCTCGAACCAAGCAGAATGTCAAACACGGTAGGGACCTTATCGCTGCAGATGTGTGTACGATCTTGATTCATGTTTTCGAGGTTTTCTACTGAGCGAACACTTCAAACCAATCCAATAATTGAGACCATAGTCTTGTGAAGTACCTCCTTCGCCATAGTTTATTTTCACTGGGATGTGTTAGCTACCGACAGATACAAGGCGCATCTATGGGCTCACAGTGGGCCCCAGTTGTATGTTCACTAGTTGCCCTACATCGAGAGCACACCTACAGCATGCCTTTTGGACAAGCCATTTTTTCTGAAAAACTTTTTAGTTCCTTTCGTTATGTTGACAACCGTCTGCTTTTGGGTCCACAACAACTCACTGATCGCCTTCGACAAACTTGCTTTTGGAATTTAGACTTCTACACCTCGCACATTCCTTTGGAAGAAGTACAGGGTTTTGATGCACTTGGATTCAACATCAATCCACATCAACGTACCATTACATCGGTATTGCCTTGGGACACAGTGATGATACGCACTTCCGCTGGCTTTGGACCTAGAAGCTCCATGTATACAGGTCTCATTGCTCGAACACGTCTAATTTTACAAAATACTTTTCCTCGTGAACTTCAACTTCCTCAAGTTCAAGACCTGCTCGCCCTTCATACCCTTCAGGAACCTAGATACCGCGAATGCATTCCTCAGATCATTTCGATTGCCCGCAGTTTTGGACACAAATGGACCAGACAACAATTGACACCGTTTGACTGAAAAGAAGCCGTTGTAGCTGCATTTTGGTTTTGTGCTTTTCATTCCAATTGCAACTTTGCAACTGTTGCAACTGTTCAAACGTTTTTCTGCAACATCCCACCCAAAACGCCTGGCTCGCAGTGTGATATTTGTTTTTCCGTAATTGATTATATTCAGTTCTCCAGCTTAGTTTACGTCCGTTGTTCTACTCCATATGGTTCACGGTACTGCAACACACTGGCTTAAGTGTTATATAACTGTGATTTAATCAATCCATTTACTGTTTTTCATCACTGCGTTCTATCTCAACCACCTGACCTACGTGTTCTACGCGTCGGAATCTCAGTTTTTGGCGAATTCGGCCCTTCGTCCATAGACAACTAATAAACGTTCATTTTAAACGGATTTGTGGAAGAACAAGAATACAATCGATTTGTGTCCATTTCATTTCGTGGTATCCATGTTTCAATTGAAGTGCAGTTCTCTTCACTTTTTAACACTCCAAAGTCATACTGTCCTTGCTCTATTTGTTCCACGCGTCGGCAACCCAGAAGTGTCACCTTCCTTATGAAGACATATGTATATATGTGTATACCGCTCTCCACACGCAAAGTGTTGCGCAATCTGCAACAAACAATTGATGTTCGTGAGGGACAAGGGCACGATAACTTTGGATTGCATCATATTCAATTATTTCGCTAATACAAACTTTGGATTGCATCATATTCAATCATTTCGCCAATAACAATTAACACCTTTTAATCCAACCATGTCCTTTCCATTTCGACTTTATTTATCGCGATTTCTTTGATCTACGTGGTCTACTTGCTCTACACGCCGCTACCTCAGAGTGCCTTCTTTGGAAAGACCTGTCCATGAAGATGCAGGTGCGTATACACCTAATCCCAAGCATGAATTTCATTTTCGAATGAGTTCAACGTTGCTTATATTGACGTGATCTGCTTGCTTCATTAGGCAGTCTTTCAGAATTTGCCTTCCATGTGAAGGCCTTTGTGTGTGTGTACACTGCTATTCACATGCAGAAAACTACAACTGGACATTTGATGACTATGCACGTCATGTTTTCCGAATTCATGCGCCAAAGACTATGCACGTTATGTTTTCCGAATTCATGCGCCAAAGACCAAAGACTACTTAACAGCAGGGGGCTGCAGGGAATGTCATAGTTCTGCAGCCAACGAAGACGGCTATGACATTCTGTGATATCGATCCGGGACGCTGGATCGACGTACCTGCCTAATCATGTCTTTCCATTTCCGCGATGGGATGTGGCTAACCCAAGAACCACCTTGCCGATTAATGATTTGGACCTGGTTTCACCTGTTTATCAAGGATGATGGACTCAGGATTCTACCAGGCATGTACAACCACATCGTCATTGCAGTTCACTTCCAAAAATCAACAGTGTGTGGAATGCAGCAGGCCGAAAGAAGAAAGTACTTAAACTAGTTGTAGTTGTGTTGTAGTGGTATGCGTGCTAGAGCTGTTGTCTGCAACTTCTAGTTGGGCCAAAGCGACCAAAACAGAACGACAAGAACGACATGATGAAAGTTTGCATGCAAGAAACAGCATCTGTCATGTCTGCGTTGCACAGCGTTGCTGCAGCGCAGTTGAGCCCTGCCTCTCGACCACGAGCAAGACCAGCACCTGGCCGGAAGTGTGTGTGTGTGTGGAATGCAGCAGGCCCCGCGAACGAAAAGAAGACGAAAAGAAGAAAGTACTAAAACTAGTTGTAGTTGTGTTGTAGTGGTATACGTGCTAGAGCTGTTGTCTGCAACTTCTAGTTGGGCCAAAGCGACCAAAACAGAACGACAAGAACGACATGATGAAAGTCTGCATGCAAGAAACCGAATCTGTCATGTCTGCGCTGCACAGCGTTGCTGAAGCGCAGTTGAGCCCTGCCTCTCGACCACGAGCAAGACCAGCACCTGGCCGCAAGTGTGTGTGTGTGTGTGGAATGCAGCAGGCCGACAGAAGAAAGTACTTAAACATGCCAAAGTCAAACATGCCGAAGCACGCGGAAAGAAGAAACATGCCGGAAGGACCGCATCTTTGCATGCAAATGACCAAACTTAAACATGCCAAAAGCTCAAACATGCCGAAGCACGTAGCAGGCCGACAGAAGAAAGTGCTTAAACATGCCAAAATCAAACATGCCGAAGCACGCGGAAAGAAGAAACATGCCGGAAGGACCGCATCTTTGCACGTGTTGTTGTAGTTGGTATGCGTGCTTAGAGCTGTGTCTTGCAAACTCTAGTTGGGCACAAAGCGACCATTGTCTGGGCCCCCTGCTGTCGTTAGCGACCACGTGGCGGGAAAGAAGAAACCATTGCCGAAGGACCGGGGGGGCATTGGCACGTGTTGTTAGTGGTATGCGTGCTAGAGCTGTTGTCTGCAACTTCTAGTTGGGCCAAAGCGACCAAAACAGAACGACAAGAACGACATGATGAAAGTCTGCATGCAAGAAACAGAATCTGTCATGTCTGCGCTGCACAGCGTTGCTGAAGCGCAGTTGGGCCCTGCCTGTCGACCACGAGCAAGACCAGCACCTGGGCGCAAGTGTGTGTGTGTGTGGAATGCAGCAGGCCGAAAGAAGAAAGTACTTAAACATGCCAAAATAAACATGCCAAAATCAAACATGCCGAAGCACGCAGAAAGAAGAAACATGCCGGAAGGACCGCATCTTTGCACGTGTTGTAGTGGTATGCGTGCTAGAGCTGTTGTCTGCAACTTCTAGTAGAAAGTACTTAAACATGCCAAAATCATCCAAAATCAAACATGCCGAAGCACGCGGAAAGCAGAAACATGCCGGAAGGACCGCATCTTTGCACGTGTTGTAGTGGTATGCGTGCTAGAGCTGTTGTCTGCAACTTCTAGTTGGGCCAAAGCGACCATGTCTGGGCCCTGCCTGTCGTAGCGACCACGTGGAAAGAAGAAACATGCGGGAAGATAAACATGCAGCAAACATGCCAGAGCGACCACGCACAAAACATGTCGGATAAAACATGCCGGAGCGACCATCAAACATGCTGGAACATAACGGCGCAAACAGGCCAGTAGAACAAACGATGCGAAGACGAAAACAGGTCGGAAAAGACAACATGCCGGATCGACCATAAGACATGCCGGCACATGACATGCGTAAACAAGCTAGAAAACCCATGAGTGCCACGCCTGCCACGCCTGCCACGCAAACCGACGGTAGATGTGAGTTTGTACCACGCCTGCCACGTGAAAGGAAGGTGGATGTCACCAAGTGCCACGCCTGCCACGCAAAGTGGCGCGGCGCCCCGGGCGTCGCCAAATCCCGGCCCGAGGGCGCCACCCAGTGCCATAAGTGCCACGCCTGCCACGCAAAACGACGGTAGATGTGGGTTTGTACCACGCCTGCCACGTGAAACGAAGGTGGATGTCAGGTTGCGCCACGCCTGCCACGCAAAGTGGCGCGGCGCCCCCATATCACGAGAAGTGTCAAAGGAGGAACAAATCCTTTCGGCCCCCCCAAGGGCGCCAACCCAGTGACCATAAGTGCCAACCCTGCCCACGCAAAAGACCGGTAGATGTGAGTTGTGCCAACGCCTTGCCCACGTGAAAGGAAGGGGAGTCACCAAAGTGCCACGGCCTGCCACGACAAAAGTGGTCGAGGCGCCAGGGGCGGTCACAGGCGCCAAATCCGGGCCCAAGGGCGCCACCCAGTACCATAAGTGCCACGCCTGCCACGCAAAACGACGGTAGATGTGAGTTTGTACCACGCCTGCCACGTGAAACGAAGGTGGATGTCAGGTTGTGCCACGCCTGCCACGCAAAGTGGCGCGGCGCCCCGGGCGTCGCCAAATCCCGGCCCAAGGGCGCCACCCAGTACCATAAGTGCCACGCCTGCCACGCAAAACGACGGTAGATGTGAGGTCGTGCCACGCCTGCCACGTGAAACGAAGGTGGATGTCATGTTGTGCCACGCCTGCCACGCAAAGTGGCGCGGCGCCCCGGGCGTCACAGGCGCCAAATCCCGGCCCAAGGGCGCCACCCAGCACCATAAGTGCCACGCCTGCCACGCAAAACGACGGTAGATGTGGGTTTGTACCACGCCTGCCACGTGAAACGAAGGTGGATGTCAGGTTGCGCCACGCCTGCCACGCAAAGTGGCGCGGCGGTAGATGTGAGTTTGTGCCACGCCTGCCACGTGAAACGAAGGTGGATGTCAGGTTCTGCCACGCCTGCCACGCAAAGTGGCGAGGCGCCCGGGCGTCACAGGCGCCAAATCCCGGCCCAAGGGCGCCACCCAGTACCATAAGTGCCACGCCTGCCACGCAAAACGACGGTAGATGTGAGGTCGTGCCACGCCTGCCACGTGAAACGAAGGTGGATGTCAGGTTGTGCCACGCCTGCCACGCAAAGTGGCGGGGCGCCCCGGCGACAAATCCCGGCCCAAGGGCGCCACCCAGTACCATAAGTGCCACGCCTGCCACGCAAAACGACGGTAGATGTGAGATTGTGCCACGCCTGCCACGTGAAACGAAGGTGGATGTCAGGTTGTGCCACGCCTGCCACGCAAAGTGGCGCGGCGCCCCGGGCGTCACAGGCGCCAAATCCCGGCCCAAGGGCGCCACCCAGTGCCATCTGTACCACGCCTGCCACGCAAAACGACCGTGGATGTGCGATTGTGCCACGCCTGCCACGTGAAATCAAGGTGGATGTCACCAAGTGCCACGCCTGCCACGCAGAAGTGGCGCGGCGTCACGGGCGTCACGGGCGCCTAAACCAAGACCAAGCGCGCCACCCAGTGCCGTCTGTACCACGCCTGCGACGCAAAACGACCGTGGATGTGCGATTGTGCCACGCCTGCCACGTGAAATCAAGGTGGATGTCACCAAGTGCCACGCCTGCGAGATTATTGTATGTTTAGTTTGTGTGTGTGTGAAGTTAGTGTGTGTGTGAAGTTAGTGTGAAATTAGTGTTTAGTTTGTGTGTGTGTGTGAATTAGTGTGTGTGTGTGTGAAGTTAGTGTGAAATTAGTGTATATTAAGTTTGTGTGTGTGAAATTATTGTTGTTGTATGTATGAGGGTAAAGTATTGTCTGTGAGATTATTGTATGTTAAGTTTGTGTGTGTGAAGTTAGTGTGAAATTAGTGTATGTTAAGTTTGTGTGTGTGAGTTTATTGTGGTTGTATGTATGAGGGAGGCGGCGGGAGAAGGCGTGCCGGAGAAGGATCCCGGGATACAGAATCAAAAACAAGAACCCCACACAAAGTTGTGGGGAATAAAGTGATGAACATATTTGAAAATAAGACAAGTTATGATAAACTACATAACAATGACAATGACACAAATGACCTCATGATGATGAAGACCCTCCGACTCTCTGACTCTCTCTGAAGGAGTCCCTGACACCTGAAACCTGCCGAGGCGCCTGGTATTGAACCTCCTCATCTGCAGTTGGGGCGCTGCCCAAAACTGGCAAGCTGCGGGAACGAGGCAAGGCTCCAATGGCCGGAGCCTCCACGGTGTCGATGAAGGTCAAGCGGTAGGTCAACTCAAAGGCCATGACCTCAGTATCAACTCCGCCCAACGGCGCCAAAAAAGGGTGGACATATCATATAATTTGAGTATACACTCTGGAAATGTCTGGAATCTATTTCAGGGTTCGTCATGTGCAGCATCTGTAAAGGACATCAAGTGAGATGCGTTGTTTGCACATTTCAGTGTTGCCTAGCCTCACAACCGCGTCAGACACTCAATGTCAAAGTGAGCAGTTCGAGATTCTGAGCCAAAGTGCTGAGCAAAGATTATGATCCAATCTAAATAGTGGGCATATCATACCGTTTCTACCTGGGTGAGAAACAGCGAAACAACACCAGCTTCGTTCGGCCTCTGGTCACCTGGTTTCAGGCAGCTCAAGAATCCTGCGGCACTCTTGGCTGCCAAGACCTAAGGTGCACTAATTGAGCAGAGTTCGAAACCGGGGATTGTCATTCCA